AGGCTAGGCCGTAGTCCCATGAATAGTCTGCTCTGGGGGGTCTCACGCCTCCCATTGCTCCATATCACCGCTGTTAACGCTGTTGTTTCCATGCGTTGTTTGTTTATGCTGAGCACTCACCTGAAAACACCTTCATAACTTCGTTTAGATGATCGGTAAACAAAGTTGGGAAGCAGATCGGAAATCAACACTCGGAAATACGTAAAACGGTATAAGTCACATCCAAAATGGCCACTGGACTTGGGGTCGTTCCCTTGGTAAATAATGCCATGGGCGGCGTAGGCGAGAAACGGGACACATTCGAATGTGTATGAAAACCGAGGAAGTGAAAGAAAAAACCAATGACATTACTGAGGCAAACTCTGCCTATCTCCCACCTCAGTACCTTCGCTTCCGATACATGGCATCGTCTCCAAAATGAACGTACATATATCGGCTGATATATAGCCAACTGATTACAGTTCGGCTTCCTCACTTTGTTAATGGTATTTCGACTAAAATAGTACAAGTATGCCTGTTATATAGTATAACTATAATACTACTACTAATACCACAACCTGTAGTATAACTACTGTTATCTTTTCTTTTAGACAGCAGAGGTGGTATAAATTTGCAAACCATATTTTGATTTGAAAACGCATACCACTTCTACATGCATACATACACAAAGCTCCCCTAGAAAATTATCATCACTCGTGATTAAACAATTGCCAAAATACAGTTAGTGGTCAGGGTCCGGGGCTACAGAAAGAGAAATGGATGTTCTTGCATGCTGGATTACAGAAGGCGAGTGGGGCTAAGATTAAAAATTCATAACTCCGTTCGAAAACGTTCTGGAATCCAGAAGAAGTTATAGGACTTTGTTTGGAAGAAGTATAGTCAAACTTTCATGATGGTCTTGAAGTGGAACGAGGCGAATGGGACCAGTCTCGAAATTCATGAATATGTTCAAAATTTTCCAGAGTCATAATTATTATTGCGGAACATGAAGCGTGCATCTGACTTTCTGCCTGTCACGAAACTCTGTATTATCTGGGGGATATCTGGGGGAACGAAGATCAGGGAAGCCGTTGATTACGCCAAGAAATCAAAGATCAGGTGGGCCGGACACGTTATGCGATACAGTGATGACCGTTGGACCAGGGCGGTTACTGACTGGATTCCTTGGGACATAAACGAACTCCAGGGAGGCCGCCAACGAGATGGTCAGACTTCTTCACGAAAGCTCTGAACGAAAGAAATGTTTTTTTCCGATTCACTGGACCACTCTGGCTCGTGACAGGGACGAATGGAGACGTTACTGGCGCCTGCTCGAGGAAGTCGATGATCAACGGGACGACAGGTGATACAGGTGATACCTAGGCGGTGGGAAAAGGGGGTGATCAGATGAAGCGAAAGAAAGAGTATCACACTGCGTGAAACGTTACCACAGTGGAAGACACGTACATACTACACAAATTGACTAATTAACTAACTAACTAACTAACTAACTAACTAACTAACCTAACTCGACGTTATCAAAACCCTGTGGTCATGATTCCTATAATGGAGGTCTAGTCAGGGTTTTATAGCTGTCTTCAAAACTTTCTTGGTGTGCGTAACCAACTCGTCTTGAATACTTTCGACAGATTGCTCTTTTTTTGGTGAGCTGTAGAGACTATTAAGTGTCGGATACAGTGTAATGTAGATACCAGACTTGTATTCTTCTGAGATCCTATCACAGCAAAAGCTGATAACGCAGTTACTTTCACTTTCTTGAATTTTAGTCCATCATTTCTCTTCATTAATATTCTGCAGAAGCTGCCCTGGAATCTGTCGTTGTATTGTTCTAAGAATTTTTTGTCTTCCCAGCGATTTCACACCTGTACTTTCTTGGCGTGACCCATGCACCCACTAGGCTCCCATTCACGTATAGCCGCTGCTCTTCCCACTTTCCCCTAGAATGCTATCCTCCACCATGAGGGTCTTTCATTATTTGGACTCATAGTCGTTTATCGTGTATATGACTCGTGAGAAGGAAAGATTTTCCAAATTATGTGCCCTTAGGTTCAAGCTCAACACCTACTAAACATGTTTAAGATCATTGCGAGCTGTGTCAGCTGTCGTAAGCAACCCAAGAGGGGCATCGTCTGTTTTGTGATTACTCGTTTTTGCGTCATATTGAAGATAGGATCCAGAAATTTGAGCAGTTCTTCATCGTCCTTCAATATTAAGAGCGAGTCTCTGCGACTTGCCATGGTTTTTACGCTGTAGATATGGAAACCCTTAGCCTAAAAGTTATCGTGAATGTTATGGAAAAGGCCCAGCTCTTCCATCAAAAGTTACCTACCCTCTACCTTCTTCCAAAGGATGAAACTTCTATGGCTATGGCAAATATGGCAAAGCGGAATCGGTGAAGACTACTATACTATTTTCCGCTTTCCGCCAAGAAACGTAGCTCCCGTAACTTCCTTGGTCACGTTTGCAGTTTGTGATTTGTGCAGTTAACAGAGTTCCACCCTTTCAATATGTTTACGCACGCGATATTTTAATTTTAATGCACAGTTGACCATTACAAAATTTATTCATTTCCACAGTATTAAGGCTTCAACTCGAATTGCTCGTGATAAATACGTAACTCTTCGCCTTCTTTCTTCCAGATATGGAGCATCCTGCCTTTCACAACTTTTGAAACCTTCTTTATCAGAATGTCAAAGTCAAATTCTGTAATTTTGTAGTCGTCGGTGCCTTCATAACTTTGGTTGCTTAACTGAAATAAAAAATGGACAGAGATAAGATGTGATTCTGAGGAACTAATATTTTCTGCATAATGCACAGTCATGATGGTTATTCACTGATATCGTTATCCACTAACTACTGGGTTGTCCGAAAAGTTTCCGCCGATTTTTGATACCCCGGATTTATCAACCGTTGTACAAAAGATCAAGGCCCAACCTAATGAAGTTATATGTTTTCTGAAAGAGTAGATCCTCCTCTATATTCCTGTTAAGATTTTGTCAACATTTGTCGAAGTTCTTCTGTGCAGGACTCGTATGAAAATGGAGAACCACTGCGCGCATTTTCGGCATCTGAAGTATTTCTTCTATGGCATGGCCTAGAATGCGGCTCAAGCCGCATGAAAGACATACGACGTTTGAGAAGGCCATGCACTAGAGGAACGTACAGCGCATGACTAGTTTGCGGAATCCAAGCGGAGTGAATTTGCCTTCGAAGACCGGCAACCCTTAGGAAGACTATCATCAGTTTGAACGATCAACTCAAAATGTTAACCGAAGCAAATCGGCACATCATTGCTCGTGGAGTGGGACAAGGGCTTGATGTTTCAAAACTAACCATCCATGGTCATCTGCAGACGCTCGGTTTTGTAAAGCGCCTTGATCTTCAGATATCTCGCGAAAGGAGCGAGCGCAATGCGATAAACCGCGCCTCCATGTGCGACTCGTTGCTCAAACGAAATAAAAATGAGTCTTTTCTGGAACGCATGAGAACGAGGGACGAAAATCGATTGTGTACAGCAATGAGGAGCGGAAACAATCGTGTAGCACCCCAGTGAGCCGTCACAAACCGCTGCAAAAGTCAAAATCTAGGTGCGGATGACTATGCCGAGTTGCTGATGGGATTTCAGGGAAATCATTTACCATGA